CAAAAACTTACTGCCTGTGTCAAAACCATGGCTCCCAGGCCAAATATCTTCAGGTCCAGTCTTGCAAAGACAGGGTTATCAACTCCCATGCCTGTGGCTAAAGCCCATATCACATTCACCTCTTTTCTAGCCGTGAGAGGACTTCTCCCCTACTCAAGGCCAGATCACAAATTTCCCTACCAAAATTCTCCAAACCAATAACTGCCTCCTGTGCTGGCTGGCAGTTTCCTGGGCACTCCTGGTTGGTTTTGTTTTGTTTTGTTTTATTTGACAAAATTTGGCAGTGTAAATTTATACACAGTATTTTGCTATTTCTAAGTGGGTGAGATGTGCTAACAAGCTTCTATACTTCCATCTTGGAAAAAATTATGTTATTTTAGCCTGGTGACTTTCAAGACTTTTTTCATTTCTGGTTTTAAATATTTGACTCTGCTTACATATATTTGATGTTGTTCTATTTACCCTACCTGGAATTCACTCAGATTCTTGGATCTGTATCTTATATTTTTTAATAATATGAACATTTTAACCAATGTTTTTTCAAATATTTTTGTGACACATACTATTCTCTCTTTCTGAGACTTCAAGTACATGTACATTAAATGTCTTGTATTGTAGCACAAGTCATTGAGACCCTGTTCATTGTTATTCATTTTTTCTCTGTTCTTCAGATTCAATAATTTTATTAATCATTCTTCAAGTTCATTGACCCTTTTTTCTGCCAGCACCAATCTATTGTTAAACAGGAAATTTTTATTTCATATATTTTAATTTTCAGTTCTAGATTTCTTGACTGAGATTCTATATATGTTTACTTATTATAAGAATATTTTTCTGTAAGTTCTTGAGCCTATACACACTAGCTACTTTAAAGTCCTTGACTATTGAATGGAGTCATCTTAGGGTTGATGTGTTGACTCATTTTCTCTTGATAGGGGTCACAATATTCCGTTTTTTCCAATGTTGAGCATTTTGTAATTACATGCTGAAAATTGTGGATGATAAATTATAGAGATTCTGGTTATTAACCTGGGGGCACTTGCTATCTCTGAGTAGGCTTAAAGTCAGGAAGTTTTACTAGAATAAAGTTCTTGAACTTGTCAAACTCATTCACCTTGACCTACTACGAATACATGCAAGGATGAAATTCACCAACTGAGTTAGGAATTCTTTTCTCTGGGTCTTCACAGTGCTCTGTGTATGGCATTAGTCACACTGCACTGAAATGGGTTGCAAGTAGATTGTTAGCTGCTCAATGCAAGACTCAGATCTTATTTAACTCTACATTCCTGGCACCTAACCCAGCGTCTGACACTCAGAGTGAACAGGCATTTCATATTTGTTGAAGTAACAAACTAAATAATTAAAAGAATCAGAAACTATGCAATTCTAACTCAAACTTCACAAAATACTGGAGTATGTGAGTCTTTTAATTCAGAAGCAAAGATGATACAAGCTCAGTTCCAACTGACAATATCGCTGAACCACAACACAAGATACAGTTAAGTGCCCATGGTAAACGTTATTAGAAAATATATTCATGATCACCAACATATTTTATTTGCAGAGTCAGGGAAGGAATTAGAACATTTTAGAAAAAGTTCACCAATTATGAGTGAAATGAAGTTTTAGGATCTCAAAAATAAAGTTTATTCATTGTACCTTATTCTCTGATGAGAATTAATACTCTGTGTGTGTGTGTGTGCGCGCGTGTGCATGCACACGTGTGTTTGAATGAATGAAGTAATAAAAATGGACAACGTAATAAAAAACATGGAATTCAGAATTACTAGATTTGTAGTTAAGGCTCACTTTCATTTTAGTGCTACTGCTAGTTCTAACAAAGAATATGACCTTGGAAAAGTAATTTAAACTACCATTTGCAATGGATATATCTGAAAACTAGGGGACTAATACCTTACAGGAGTGCTATAAGAATCAAATGGGATGATGAATACAAAAGACCCTTGTAAACTCTGAAGAGCTATATAAACATTAAAGACGGTTATTAAATGAAAGAATGCAAATAAAGCATTTTATTACAATGCCCATTACATCCAAAATTTTTAAATGTTTGCACCCTCCCACAAAAATATACATATGCATGCATGTATACATATACACACACACCACACACACTCACACTTGTGTTCACACCTTAGCAGCACAACAAAACTACCTTAGGTTCTTGTACCCTTTAAACATGTCTTTTTAAAAGTTAAGCTCTGTGTGACACGTACTACCTGCTTATCTTTGGCTTAAGTTTATCTCTCCTGACCACTTCCCTCCTTTCTCTTCTCCCAGAAACATTTGCACCCATCAATAAAATGTATTATTCTACTCATTGTTGGGAGTGCTGCAGCCATTTTCTCATCTAATCCATTATAGGTTACAATTGATGAATGTAAAAGGATATCAGGCAAAACTAGTTTTTCTCTAAAGAAGTTACAAAGTCAACACTGTAAAAATCATTTTCAGAAGCTATAAGATCCATAATAGTCTTTTCATAATTTTTCTAAAGGTAAATGTTTAAAAGTCTTAACTCTTGATTTTATATGTCAGGTTATCAAGCAATTATTTTAAATATTGTCAAACTGATGGTCCTGCTTATAGCTAAAATATATTAATCCAGTGTACAATTTTAAGTGGCTAACTAATGTAAATATATGATAAATAGCAATCCTGCAATGAAGGAAAATAATTTCAAGTATGCAGTCAAGATTGTCACCTGTACTCTGTTATTTTCTCTGTTACTTGATTTTAGGTAAAAGGAGTCTATCAGACAAACAGAAAGAATATGACAAGATGTATCTATCAAAAAACACACCTGAGGAAATTATTGAACAAGACTTTATACTCAATAGATGTTCACGCATTCATTCATGCAAAGGTATATTAAGCATTTACTTTTTGCCAGACTAGTATTCAACAGGGCAGTGGGCATACAGGTGAATAGAATAAAACACCTGCCCAACTAACACTTCTGGCTTTTTCAGGTTTCTGTATCTCTGTCAGACTCTTCTCTTTCCCTTATCATCTTCCCTCATCCTTTGCAGACACCAGTTGACCCAACGCCACAAAAAGTTAATTAAATATCACTTCTCTATGAATGTTTTCTGACCTTCTAAATAGATTCCTTTTCTGAACAACACCCCTGACCCCAAACGACAATCCTGTGCATGTGCCTTTAGCAAGTTTTTGTACTTCTTGTTATTTTGTCTAACTTCCCACTGGACTGTGAATAACAAGAAACTGAATCTTTACATTAGTCCTTATTGTAACCGCAGAGGTAGTTAATTGCTTGACACATAGTGCTTGAAAAAGGTACATTGATTTAATAAATATGTGATATTATGACTATTTTTCTGGTGAATAAAAGAGCTTAACAAAAAACATATTAAAATAAAAGTATTTGAAATGTACAAAAGAAGAAAAATAAAGGAGTATGGATAGAGTGAGACATTGGGGAATAATCATGACAACAAAAATAATCGAGATAGTGAAAATAACCGCCACATTAATTATCAATATAAGCATTTTCATAGACAATAGGAAGCAGCAACGAAATGACTCACTCTTCCTAATTCATCCTCCAGGAGGGATCTGTGACCACATAGACTTACACACTCTTATCCTATTGCACTTTGCCTGTAGACGCTTCTTTCTCTAGTGAGTCTAAATCCTTGCAAAGTATGTAAAACAACTAACACTAGTGGGGTATTCACTCATCCACAAAGTGTTGGAGAGCAGGAATGGTATTGAAACACTTAGGGAATACAGGAGGGAATACAGGAAGGGATGGAAGAAGACCGAAAAACTTTCAATAAGACCACACTTGGCCTCTGATATTCCCCCATAATCCATTATTCCTCAACCTCCAAGCTGAGAACCACCCATACCTTCCATATTCTCTAACTAGTGTAAGAACAGCAATGCTTATACAGGCAAAACTGGACCAGGTCAAAGGATCCTTATTTAAGAGGGTGTAAGGATATTGTGGAAGTCAATAGTCTCTGAAGGAAGAAAGCTGGATCTAGTCTCATATTTCTGTTTGGATTTGAGGGAAGAAATTCTTATGCCAGAGTTAATTCTCTAAGAATACGATGAAAAAGTCACATTAACACTTATATTAGAAATGTAGTGAATAGTTTCAAACAAGTTTAAAAATCTTCTGACACTTGCCCAGGCACCCCTAGAAAACTATGAACCTCAGGTTGAGACAGACACCTTTTGAGACGGCTATCAGGCTGGTCAGTAGGGAGACCCTGCTATCAGCTATGATGTTATCCAACTGGGACAGCCAGATGAAGGGGACACTGTGCAGAGACCCTTCACCTCCAGTTTGTGACCTCCTCACAAAGGGATCTGTAGAAGACAGAGAAGATCACAGGTCACCTAGAAGACACTTAACCCTATTTCTGTGGTTAGGAACAGAAAAATAAAACTGGACTGTAAAAGAGAGGAATCAAGTAACAGAGAAAATAACAGCGTACAGGTGACAATCCTGAGTGCATACTTGAAATTATTTTCCTTCATTGCAGAATTGCCTTAATCCTGATAGTAAGAGATAGGAGAGTAAGAGATAAGAGATAAAATGACTTGAGAATGGAACAACAATAGATGTCATGAGTGTGTGAAAACAGATGTTTCCATACCTACGTCTCTTAGAAAGTATCTTCCAGGTCTGTCTCAAAGTAGAGATAAACTCTGGTGGGAAGATTCATAAAACAAAATATTCCCACAATGTTTCCCATTGAGTGTATACAATAATGTAGCATAGTTATGCTTATTTTGCAAATAAATATCTGGAAAAATATGAAGTTTGCACAGTTTTCTGAGAGAATGGAAGTTAATGGCATTTACCTTGGACCCTAGAATTAGTACAACCAATATCTAAGACAACAACTTCAATGTCAGTAAAACTACTACATATAAACTAAAAATCTAAAAAACTACCATAAGTTGAAAAGAGACAAGTCTTTATGAAAAGTGCATCTGGATAAAAATGTAGCTTCAGAGAAAAGCCACCAGTATGTGTCCTTTCTGCTTATCCCCTAGGGAACAGCAGAGGTTTCTGCCTTGATTGCACAGAAGGAAGGAATGCACATAGAAATGAACACTATTTGAGGAGCGAATACAGCTGGATAATAAAAGAAGAGACTTTTTTTCAAAGCTGTTCATTTTTCAATCAGCAAGATTAAGATATAATTACAAAATGACTGTCACATGGAATATTATTTGACTCCTGAGAATGAAAGCTTTATTTTTTATGTAAGCAGAGAGAAATAAAGGTTGGTGTCTCTGCAACTTATTTTCCTAACACCCCTGCCACCTATGTTCCCACTGCCTCTACTCCACATCCCCTAACCGGACAAGCTCAAAGATTTGACTCTCAGAGAGTTCAGGTAAAATGGGAGCCAAAAAGCTTTCAAAGCTGAAATATTCAAGCACAGAGACAAGTAGTCTTAATCCAGCTTGGAGTGAGTCTTGTGTCTGGTAACCAAATTCACCAGAGCAGAAATCCTGCTTTCTGTCATCCCTAGAACACTAAATAGAAAAGCATTTCTCTTCTCTGACAGTATTCTCAACAAATATTATATTTGATGAACTTGTGTATTGTGTCATGTTTGTGAGTAAACACACTACACTGGGCTAACGGTCTCTTGATTTAATAATCCAATGTGTTAAGAAATATTTCTGCCCACAACTCTGCATAGAGCATCCTTGACCTCCTTGTTTCTCAGACTGTAAACAACAGGGTTCAGCAGGGGAGCAATGATGGTGTAGGTCACTGACAGAAGGAGGTCTTGTTCTGTAGAGTTTTCTGACTTGGGCTTGAGGTAGGTAGTGGAGGAACAGCCACGGTGGACAATGACCACAGTGAGGTGGGAGGCACAGGTGGCAAAGGTCTTCTTCCAGCCCTCAGTTGAGGCAATTTTAAGGATGAAAGAGATGATGAGGACATAGGAGGTAAATATCAGGCCTCTGGGCACAAAAATCACAAATTAACTTACACCGTAATTTATTATCTCATCGATAGTGATATCAATGCAAGAAAGTTTCATGACTGGGTAAATGTCACAAAAGAAGTGGTCCACCACTGTGCCACAGAAGGGCAAACTGAACATGGCTGTCACATGGAGAACTGCCATAGACCAATGCCAAAGGACCCACATACCAGCTGGGCACATAGGCCCTTGCTGATGATGACAGTGTACCTCAGGGGCCTGCAGACAGCCACATAGCGGTCATAGCCCATTGCAGTAAGCAGGAAGCAATTATTAATGGCCAAGATAACAAAAAAGAACATTTGGGTTGTGCAGCCTGCCAAGGAGATACGCTGGTTATGAAAAATGAGGCTGCAAAGCAATCATGGCACAATAACCAGTGTGTACACCATCTCTGAACTAGCCAGCATGCTTAGGAAGAAACACATGGGAGTGTGGAGATGATGGTCAATGCAGACGATAGTCACAATGATGATGTTACCAGCCAGAGTTAAAATGCAGACAGTTAGGAAAACCCCAGAGATGGTTATCTGATGCTTTCCCAAACTAGAGAATCCCAAGAAGATGAATTCTGTCACTTCTGTGAAGTTCTTTCTCTGCATTCTGCTATGTCAGTGTCTGAAAGCAATAAATGGAGTCAACAAGGAGTAAATTCTCAATAGCAATTGGACTTTAAAACAAAGAACAATGATAACTGTACTGAGACTGAATCCAATTTCCTTCTTTTTGATTATAATGCTCATGCAGAGTCCTTGCACATGAAGAGAGAAGCCTACTTGTACCTCTTTGGGGCTGTATACATATGAGCATTGTCACTGTAGAGCAAACTACTTTCTGTGCATGGAAAGGGCTCCTGCCTGCATGCTCACCTCACAGACATTATAGTGATGTTAGGAAGGGAAAAGGACAGCAAGGAGAAAGCCATGCTTTATATTTCAACCAATAATAATATCCACTCTTTAGACCCTCTTAACAAGGAGGACTCTGATGAAGTGCATGTCAAGAAAACCATAAAGATGAAAGTTTTGTGGAAAAAAAAGATATAGCAGTTTGAAATATTTGAAGACGGAAAACTTTGGGATGTGGTCACTGGATTTCGTAACAGGGTCACCAATGAGCTTTTACACAGCATTTCAGTTGAATTATGAATATAGAAACTTGATTTTGGAGAGGTAATGTGGTCCAAACATGTTATTGTACTCTCAAAACAGAACACCTACAACACAGATTCTGCCATTATCTCTCCGCTAAAATTGATCGCTGCAGTCCCCAAGGAAATCTTTTTTTTTTTTTTTGTAGATTCTAGTAGGCCTTTTGAGTGAAGTCAGGAAGAGAGAGCTGTGACAGAAAACATTGTGTAGTTGCGACTGTCATTATGAAGGATTGGGACAGCTTGAGGTATAGAAGAGACTCCGGAGTTGAGAGAGGAATCTGCAGCTATCTGTAGCCCAACTGGCTTAAGTATTTTTTAAAATATGGTGAACAGACAATTTTGAGAAGCAGAGACACTAGTCCCTTTTGTCAAAAAGCAAGTGCATATAAACTGTATGGAGAGCATACATCTGATCCTGTGGTTCTCTTCAGTGACTGTTCTCCCTTTATTTTCAGAAGCATTAAAACAGGCTTTCTTTCTCACTCTCCATAATTCCCTGCAAGTTGGCTTTCGCATGTTTGTGCCCATGAGATTGTTTGCTCAAATGTCACCAAAGAATTCTCCATTGCTAAGGCCACTGGACTTTGCTTTATCTCCTTTTTCTCATCTCTCTCTGTTTTAACACTTCAAACTCCTACCTCATGGAAACATTCTGACTTTGGTTTCCATGAAACTACACTGTTTTTCTCTCTTCCCAGCACTCATTTTGCTACCTTCCATGAATCTGCTCGTTTTCCCTCTACCATAATTATGTATGCTCTTCTCTGGTCAATCCTTGACCCTTGTGTGTGCAATTTCTATGATTGTTCTCAAATCTCTATTTTCATCACCAATCTTTTTCCCAAGTCTCCAACTTACCTCACTCTTGGCTTCTCTATTAGTGTTTCTTGCAATCATAATAAATTTTATATTTTTGAAAGTGAACTAAACATTAACCTTTCTTATACTCATAAAAAGCTCTGCATTTCCATTCTTCAGTCTTCTTTAATGACCTTGCCATTTTACCTGTCCATTAATGGGTCAACATTTTGGAGCCATATCTATTTTGACATCACATTCAATGGGCTTTTTCTTTAAAGTTATGTCTCCTGTCTGTACAATTTCTGAATTCACAATGATCAACTTAAGACTAGTGTACCAAATCTTCTAGCCAGAATAATAAAACATTTTCCCATTATAAAATTTATATGAATATGCAGAAGACCAAGAATGCTAAGACAATTTTAGGAAAGAAGTACAAAGTTAAAGAGCTTACACTACTTCATTTGAAGGCTATGGTAATCAAGATAGTATGGTATTGATGCAAGTGCAGGCAATAGGAAAAAACGGAGAGTCCAAAAGTAGACCCACATATATCTAGCCATTGATTTTTGATACAGTGCAAAGGTATCTCAGTGACAGTATTTTCAACAGATGTTGCTAGAAAAAATGAATGTCTATATGGGAAAAATGAACCTCAAACCTTATCTCATATCACACACACACACACACAAATTAAGGATGAATCACAGATATTTATATAAAAGATAAAGCTATACAAATTCCAGACAAAAATAAGAAATAAAATCTTCAATACCTTGAAATGAGCAAAGATTTCCTGGATATAAAACAAAAAGCATAACCCACAAAACAACAAAATCACAAATTGCACTTTATCAAAATCAAAAGCTTCTAATCTTCAAAGACATCGTTAGAAAAATTAAAAGGCTTGGACAGGTGCAGTGGCTCATACCTGTAATCCAAGCACTTTGGGAGGCTGAGACAAGCTAATCACTTGAGGCCATGAGTTAGACACCAGCCTGGCCAACATGGTAAAACCTCATCTCTACTAAAAATACAAAAATTAGCCGGTCTGGTGGCACACACCTGTAATCCCAGCTACTCAGGAGGCTGAGGCATGAGAATCACTTGAACCTGAGAGGTGGAAGTTGCAGTGAGCCAAGATTGTGCCACTGCCCTCCAGCCTGTGTGACAGAGTGAGACCACATCAAAAAGAAAAAAAGAAAAGAAAGAAAGAAAAAATAAATGAAAAAGGAAAACCACAAGTAGGAGGAAATATTTACAATACATATGTCTAAAATTGTAACCAGCATATATAAATAATTCTTATAACTCAATAATAAGACACATTTTTCATGGGCAAAATATTTGAAGAGATATTTCACAAAAATAAGATATAGAAATGTTCAGTAAACACAGGAAAGAATGTTCAACATCATTGGCCATTAAAAAACTTATAAACTAAAACCACAATGAGATACCATGACACACTCATTTGAATGGCTAACATTTAAAAGCCTAACAACAAAGAGTTTTGGCAAGTAAGTAAAGAAGTTGAAACTTAAACATTGCTGGTGGAAATGTAAAACAGAATCACCAAGTTGGAGAACAATTTGGCAGTTTTTTATAAAGTTAAATATGTACTTACTCCATCACTCAGTAATTTTTTCTACATGTTGACACAATAGTAATGAAAATGTGTGTCCACATAGAGACAGGAATATGTAAATAGCCCTATCAGCTTTCTTCCTAAATGTCAAAAAGCTGCAAATAACCCAAATGTCCAAGATATAACACATCCATATAATGAAACACTGCTCAGCAATAAGAGGAACAAATTTCTAAGACTAACAGCAACATGGCGGAATCTTTAAAACAGTATGCTGAATCAAGTCAGACACAAAATAGTTAATATGGTATGATTCTATTTACTCTAGAAATACAAATCTAATGTATACTGACAAAAAAATAGTGGTTGCCAGAATTGCTGGGGAATTGACCAAAAAAGAACACAAGGGAATTTATTGGAGTAAAAGAAATGTTATTGATTGTGAGGGTGGTAATACAAGTGTATACATTTGTCAAAACTCACCAAAATGTATACCAAAAAATTGGTAAACTTTGCTATGTTATATTTTAATTGTATTGCATTGTATTATATTGTATCATGTAATATATTGTATCATACTGCATTATACTTCATCAAAGTTAATTCATTTGGACACGAATAAGATTGTATCCCTATGAATCTGTTGCTACTAGACTTAGCATCCTATAGGTGGATTTATGATGATGGAAGAAACATTGGAATTGGCTGGGACTTGGGAAATCTGGAACCTGATCTGGAGTCTGTCAATGTCAAAACAAAACATGTGGTCTGGGGCAAATATGTCTCCATGGCCTCAAATGCCAAATAAGGAGCTTAAACAAGATTGTCTCTAAGTTCTAATATACTAATCATATATCACTTCTCTGGTCTGGTAAGTACAACTCTGCTGGGCTGATAAGGCCCTGCACTATCAGACTATTCTTACACAGCAAATCTGCCATCTTCACTATCTCCTCTACTGCAAAAAAAAGCCGACCTTCCCAGGGTCTAGGAACATTCCAATACCCATTGTCAAAGCTGTGCCTGTGTTCATATTTTTCTTCTTACCTGGGTTGTCCTCCACTCCCCGTTGCCCACCCAGATTCCAAGTCCTCCGTGCTTGGAAGCACATCCTTATCATTCACAGAACAATCTTAACATAAAATCCCCAAATGAAATCGTATTCTTATTCTTTGCTTAAATACAGAATTTTTAAACGACCAAATTAGATCTATTTTTAATGGTTAAAAATTGTTTCTTAGGAGTATTTCAAGACTCAGCTCATTGCCTAGCATCTTCATGAAATCATCTCACAACAACCCTGTTCCTCACTTCTCTTTCTTTCACAAAGCCTATACCCAATAGTGTGCTGGAGGTAGTTTGCACCAGCTCACCAGAGAAGATTGCTACCATTCTTTCTCAGCTCCATATTCTGTAGTATCATCTGGGTAGATTAAGATCTGCTATAGAGAAATAGTGATAACTCAGAAATCGACACTCAGTATCAGGACTATTTTTTTTTTCCTGGAGAGTTGGTTGTTAAAAATCTACCAACACACCACTGCCTTCTTCCTTGTACCATATGCTGTGGCCTAGTCCATGTTATCTTGCATTGTTGTCTGTTTTCTCCCATGTGTCAGTCTTCTTTCCCAAATTAGATTGTAAACACTATGAAAGAATGTGCCAGGGCTAAATCTTCTCAGTCCTTCACACAATTCACTCAGAGAATCCTTCAATACGCACTAGGTGATTGAAGAGTATGAAGAATCCGGAATTCTTATTGTACTATAATTGGAACTCAATTTGCCAAGGAGACAGAGTTAGCTACCCATGAAAATAGTGGGGCTCGCCAGCCTCCAGCTCCAAGTGTGAGGGACACAGAAAACGGGTGATTTCTGCATTTTCCACTGAGGTACTGGGTTCATCTCACTGGGTCGTGTCAGACAGTTGGTGCTGGTCAGAGGGTGCAGCCCGACCAGTGAGAGCTGAAGCAGGGCAAGGCATCGCCTCACCTGGGAAGTGCAAGGGGGAATGGAATTCCTTTTCCAACCCAAAGGAAATTGAGACACACAACACCTGGAAAATC